TGTATGCCCTGTCGTCGCGCCAAATAGCCTCAGCGCGTAAGATGGATGTTATATTCGTTATCAGGACCTCAAATAACCCCTAAATGCAAGTTTTCAGCAAATTTGGTGAAAACACCCTTGGCGCCAAATTGGCGCCAAATGGCGTCAGCGCCAAAAGTGAAGGTCATATTCGTTATCAGGGCATCGGATTACCCCTATAGGCGAAGTTTCATCGAAAATTAAAATTTTGAGTTTTTGGGGTTGTAATAGTGGAATAGTGCCAAAATTTGTGTAGAAAAATCAGTGGGATCATTCCGATTAGGTTGAATTGTTGATATCATTGATTGAGAAACTTTCACTGGGTTTTACCGAACTAATTTTTTTGAAAAAAAAAATCATCGGAACAACAATGGTGATATTTTAAAGAACAGTATCGCGGGAAATCGCTGTATATGAAAAATTAAGGATAAAACTACTCTTGGCTTAAAATGTCGCATTACATTTGGCTCTTCTCCTCCCAAGGCTGAGAAACTGTGTTCGCCTGGATAAGAACCTTCTCTGAGTATAGGTAAACTTCTTCTCTGCTTTCTAGTGCTCAGCATCAAAAACGAGCGGTGTTCCCCTCTCCCCATTATGAGTCAAACACTGTTACATTCAAGTTTCCATCCTCCTTTTGACGTCTCCAGCACTTGGCGAGACCCTTGAACGACCTAGGGTTCGGAAGGTGCAGGGGAATTGCGTTAGAAGGCTCTAAGCAGTTGGCACTTCACTGTACCCAGACTTCTTGAGAGTCACATTTTCCTTCAAGTACCCCAAGAAGGATCCATAGATCAACAGAAACCTTCAGATGACAAGGACTTGCACGTTCGTTAATAGCTATCACCATTACATGCTTGGTACTCATCGGAGCCTCTGTCCACCTCTGTCTTTTCCAAGGTTAAATGCGCCACGCTTCGAGTTCCACCCAGAATTCCGTTAGCGTTAGATGGAGCATTAGCCCTAGACAACGAGGCAGCAGTTGATGCGCACCTTAACGCCTTCACACTTCCAATCCCACCAGTACCGGAGTGTCGACTGCGGGAATCGGAATTCACCGAACTAAGCAACCGCTCACCGAACTCCATTTGGGTATGAGTAAGAAAGAGAGCCGAAACCCCATGCACCTTCACAACTTCTAACTTACTCAACATCTCACTATCGATTCGTCACAGCTTTAAAACCTCGGAAGAAAATCAAAACTATTGAGCAGTTGAAAGAATGCGTCAAATACAGTGTGGAATTCAACATACATCCGGTCTCCCATCCTGTGCAACGAATTCCCGCAAGTTTGTCAATATTTGGACAAAACCATATATCTATTGTTGTCTGATCTACCATGTAAAGAAAAAAAAACAGTCTCTCCGAAGCAGCACTTAGCAAGAAATAGTGCGAAGGCACATATTTATGACGTCGACTACGAAGTGTTGGTCGTAGTGCTCATCGCCATACCTATAACCTTACGCCTAATAAGCATACTTCCTTATTCGCTTAACGAATGCTTTTCATATGAAATGACGTTGTTCCTGCAGGAATTTCATGTTTCTTCAGTTAATGATTATGTATGTTAATTAGTTTGAAAGTATGGAACAAAGTTTAATGATGGATATATTCCTTTGAGTTCACGAAAAGTTCCATTGATTGTTGTTGCCCAGTAAGAAACTGTTCTTGATGAAGTCTCAACCATTCTTTTTCGTTCATTGCGAATAAGCTGTTGCGGATTGATTCGGGTACTCTTATCAGAAATCGTCAGGTTGATAGCTTCGTAAAGCGCCAAGTGCGCAAACAAAAAAAGGCTGGATGAGTCACCTGTTTCAATATTTCTGTTATCTTTCCCAGGCTCATATTTTACCTAGATCTGGAGAGCAGGCCGGGAAGCTTTGATCAACGGTTTAAGCTCTGAATAAGCGGTGGTCTTCCAAAAGTCGGTTTTGACCATTCAATAAATACTTTTTTCTCAAACAAGCGATTTCAAACTCTAATAGGTAGGTATCATTGCTATTTAATAGGTAGGTACGATGCTGAAGTACCTTTGCATGTACGATTTTGAGTTTGACTTTAACTTACCTGAGGCCTACAAGTTTTCAACTCGAGTACAATAGGTTCACAACATTTTTTCATCACTTTTTAAGTATTTTTAAGCAGCACCATTTTCGTAGGTCCTATGAATAGGAAAGCCGATTCCTTCAATCAGATCTGTTGCTTTACTTAACTTATCAATGATTAACCGGTCTCTGAGTAGTTTGGGAGACGTGGAGAACTGTTGGGAACGAAGTATTCGCCGAATACTAAAATATACCCTGGAAAGGTTCACGTAGGCGAATAATTCTGGCCATTTACATATAAATTGAGAAGGAAACGATTCTGACCCAATCTTTGGGCTTTTTCATCAAGCCTGGCTTATCCAGCACATAAGCTATGTATAAACAATATATTCTCGTTGTAAACAAAAAGTATTGCTTGAGCAGTTTAGCTTTTTCCTGATTTCTATCGACTCATTGTTCTCTATTCTCCACCCCATTCTTCCGGTTCCCCTTTGCGATTATCCGATTTCCCATCGGCTTTCACTTGTCGCGCTATCTGATCTGAGCCAGTGACTGCACTATGGCGTAGGGATCGTGTTTCATGTTGATTATAACAGTGGTAGATCTGAGTTTTATTGATTTTTACAGTCGTTATGTTGCCAGATTTATTGTTAGCTCCAGTGTAATGGGAGGTTTTGTTACATATTTCATTTCAGTCACAGTTTTCAGTTCATACTTGTTCGAGTCCGTTCGTACTCCAGCAATAATGAAAAGAACCTTCAGAGCGAGTTCATGTCCTCCATCGTTATCCCTTCGCTTCCTCACTTCGTCTGTGATCGTAAATTGTTGTAAAATGTTACGTATTGTTTTGTTATTATTACTATTGGGTAGTAGGGGAATTACGGTAATATTTTGTATTTCGATAAATACTGTATCCAGGTTGTGTCGCCCAGTGCCGTTAACCCTGAGTGTGCGGATTAATTGCAGTTATCAAACTCCTGTTTGTTTTGATTTGCCTCTAAATGGCATCCCACAACGAAGGAGGTCCGTATAAATGCAGCCCGCTAGGGTGGGAAACTATGAAAATAGCAGGTAATGGTATTGTATCAAAGAGCACATCTTCACATCCCCTCACCAGTCCTGGCTCTTGACGATTTCAGTGCGGTAATATAATCATGACTGCGAGAATACCATGGAAATATGGTAAGCATAGGATGTGGTTCATATCCTTGATTGAGTATTTCCATTTATCATTGATGTCCTCGGACGCAGTAGATTGGTCCATTTCCAGGGTAATTTTCTGGCTTCGAGCTTGTTAATGGCCTCTGCGTTCATATAAATGCATTGCAATTGTGTCTCATAGAAATGCTTTCCATAAGCAGCTTTGTGCTTGTCAGTTTTCCAGATTTCAGAAAGTCTTGGTGACTATGATGTAAACTAGTTGGGTTTAATTTTATCTTTTGTTTTTTCTTTAAATTTTCGCTGGATGTCTACATTTATTTCGTGAGCACTCGTTTTCGTTTTTTTACTTCTTCAAGTTTGAAAATAATTTGTATTTTTGATATTGTATTTCTGGCTGTTCGTATTTACGCTGTTCATTTGAAATTCACGACGTCACCATATCGTCCACATAAATTGAATTACACGCATGGAAATGCCCTCTTTTCAGCCACATGCCGGAGGCTTCTTCAGTGGATCGAGTATGCCTCAGTAGCAGATCATTAGGAATGATTCTTCTGTTACTAGTAAATGTGTTATGGGTGCTCTCTTCAGAGCTAACTCGGGTGAGTGCTTCTATTGCAATATTTTTGAATTTTTAGCTTTCTTTATATAGAAGTTTCCTATTGCCAATTAGTCCCTATTACTCCGTAGTTCAGCTTAAAGCTCATTAATAATAATTGATACCTGTTTGGAAATTTAAGTGCTTTCACTGAACGTGCCTTTTTCCAGTTTATATTCATCGATGAGGATTTTAAGCGACCATTTTTCACCGCTTATGTAAAAACATGTATGCTTACTGTATATATGGTGCGATATTTGGTGTTTGAAAAGCCAGAACAGGTGTGTAATATCTACTTTTAGAGTTTCTTTTTTGTCTCATTGTTGTCTTTGATAGTTGTTATAGATTGTGTGTCTCCATTGTTAAGCATTGCCCTACAGCTGTTTTCCGTCTAGTGTTTGAAAACCCAGTAATTCATGGATTTTCTTAAAGGTTTCCTGAAGGAGTGGGAAATATGACGCGAAAAAATGGTGCATTAATTTGTTCGAATAAGTTCAATAGGGCAGTTTTGCAGAACTTTTTATATCTTTGAGGAGCATGGACGTAGGGTAAGTGATGGCAACTCAGGCATCGAAGAATTAAAGCGCTTCCTTAAAACTCAAATGAAAGTCAGCTTTGTGAACGGCATTCCTTAGGGCGTGATCCGGGCTAGCTGCCAACGAATTTCGCTTACCCTGCATGGTTTATCTCATTTCAAACTGTTTACTGGTGGAGTCTTCCGTCTTTCTCTTAGATTGGTCTGCTCTTTTAACTACTGGGTGTAACAGCTTTCAGAATAGCCTCACTTGTAGTTGATTCTCATTAGCCCTCGCTTAACAAAGGGTTGCATCATTCGGTGGTTTGGTTATGTACAATAACATCCCAACTTCTAAATGCGTCTGATTTGGTGGTGGAAAGTACCATAATCCTGTTTGTTTATCAATGTTCTGGCCCGACGTGGTACTTGGTCTTCCCCATATCAAAGTAATCGAAATTCGTGTTTGTGTATGTCAGCGTCTGTTCGAATTCAGTGTACCGTGTGTACGAAATCATCGCTTGATGCAGTCCTCGTTCACTAAATGTTTTAGCACGTGTACAAAGTTCTCGAAAATGAGCTCTCCGATTGCGAGTCGATTGATATGGGTGCCCATAGCTTGGTGAGTTTGGTTGCTTGTGCATGCTTAGAACCATCATTTATTTGTGATCGTTTCTATCGTTCCTTTTGCCATATAGACCCTTCTATCTGATTTGTGTTTGATGTAGTGTAAATTGCATGGTTTTGTTGCATGAATGTTCATGGAGAGGCTGAAGGCCCGCTCAACGGGGGAATTAGCTCTCCCTAGAAGATAGTATGTTTACACGCAATACGGTACCGAACAACTGTTCAGAAGTAGGTGAATGATTTTCATTCTTATTGGTCACCTCTTTGTGATGTTAAGTTAACTTGGTAAAAATCAGTTTGGTTTTGAGTCTTTTTCAATAAGAAGAATATGAAAGCTACTCCGAAGAGAAGGACACTTTAGCTCCCGAGGTTGGCGCCTGGGTAAGGGTTGCGAGAAAGTCTTTGTCTTCAGTTGTATATCTTTTTTTGGGCAGTTTTCATTCATTGAGCCCGAAGTGTTTTTTCTGGTTTTGGATTTTTTTATTCATTTCTTTTTCTTCATTCCGTTTGGCGCTATTCAGCAATTCATTTTCCCCCATGTTTACATCTTAGGATCCATTTTTTCTCCAGTAGTAGACAGTTTTTTTCGTTGCCATAAAAACCACCTTGCGGCTATCTCAGACATAAAACTCCCTTGTGCACAACGCAATTTTTCACAGTGGTTTTCACGTAGAAAAGAAGAGCAATTAATTTTAGGGCGACCATTATCCCTGGGTTAACGGTCCATTGTGTAAACATGAAATTCTGCTCAGTGGAAGCGTATCAAAATGTTAAATCAATATTAATTAATTTATTTTCAATCATTATTAAGGTTTTTGGAGCTGGAGTAAAAGTTCAAGGATAGTTGTGACGAAAAGTTAGAACAGTGGCTTTTGAGTAGGTTGGAAAAGACAAGACCCTAACAATCCAAGAGTACCGTATCCATTCATAAGGCTGTTTATGATTTAATGTGTTCTAGGAGAATTCCTCAATTGTTTGATGTTGTTTTGCCAGTGTCGTATTTCAGTTCTATCAAGGCTTATATCGTGCTGGCGCTGAAGTTGTTTTCGTGAATTTGAGCACTATGCATGCTGTGAAACTAAAAACTAAGTAGTGTGTAAACAACAAGTTGTCCGGGCTTGACCTTCCAACGAGTTGTCTAGGCTTTCTCATCTTTATGTGCGATTTGCTTTCCACTTCGTATTCATTGGTCACCACTTAATATTACCATCTCAGACTATGGAAGGATTCGAAACGATGACGTCCGATTCAGAAAACGACATTGATCGAACAGAAGTTGTTTCCCGGAGCGTTCGTTTCGCAGAACATCGAGAGGTCTGTGGGAATCTATTGGTTTTTTTTGTATTTAGAAGGTTATACTGGTCATTGTACTATCAGGTATTTCCATAATGGAAAAAAATGTTTCTAGATACGCCGCATGCCAGCGATTGAAGCAGATGAAGCTCGTCAAGCTCGGCAACCGTATACTCCACCGATTTTCGACTGTAATTTTTCCATAAATCTGCCGCGTAACATCAAATACACGATATTTTTCTTTGCTCCCATGGTGAGTAACTTATTCTACTACCATTTCAAGATTTTCATATCAGAGTTCGGACATTGTACTATAATTATTTTACAACATTGTAATTAATTACTAGTTTTGCTTGTTTTTTAGATCTGGCTTTAGTTTTGCATACCTTTCATATCATTCATAATGAAAAGTTTCGTAACTATAACTTGCCAATCGAAAGTTTTCAATTTTTGGTACTCGTAAGATTCTTTGGATTCGTTGAAATCGAAGGGTGAAGTGATCGTGGTTGAACATTCTTCTTCATAAGAAGCGAAAGTTCGATGAATCCTTTCAGTATATGTATAGAGGACCCGAACGGGAATCCAAGCTTTCTTAAGCGGAATTCGATTCAAAATTATTAGGTTTATTGAATAAAGTTCTCACAAAATTGATCTTAGACTACTAACGAGTAAAGTTTTTAGTGGCTCATTTGTACCTTCACCTATCAAACGGCTCTGGTATTCACATCGGTTTCCGCATTGAATTTGATCTCATCATCGTCATCTTTATTCGTTCTAGTCTTCTCGGTTTGTTTCCCATCAAATGGCTCCAATTTTACCCTTTTGAAGGTAGGGTGATGGTTATTCAAACGTTTCTTGAAATTATTTTTCATAGTCAATCTCGATTTTATGCAGAATCTTTTGCTGAAAGAAGACTTTTAGGGTTTCCTTGTTGCCTTAAATTTGGGTGGCGTCTATCTAGTGTCACAATTTTCGTCATCACTTCGTGGAACAATATTTGCTCAAGTACTTTTTGAACTGAACTCCTTTTTTCCTTCTGTACCAGTGTACTTCAATGATTCTATCATACATTAAGGTTGCCGCAATTTCTTACGCCTTGTACATAACTTTGTACACTCGCTATCAAGAGAAGCACGGAGAAATAAGCATCAATCTCATGTTCGGTGAGTGACTGTATGATAGTAGGCGACGAGATTTTCTGGCTCGTGCCAGCACTTGAGAGGCTGAGCGAGGGCAAGTGTTGTGTCCGTTGTGGTCTAGTGGTTAGGATTTACGGCTCTCACCCGTAAGGCCCGGGTTCGATTCCCGGCAACGGAAGAGTGTTTTGCATTCTTTGCTTTTTGATTGGCTTGACAGAGACATCAGTTTAGAGTGCGTTTCGTTTAATCTCTTTATTTAAAATTTTGTTGAAATGTTTACGTTGACACCCAGAGGGAGTGAAGGTGTAAGCATATTTCAAAACAGCCCACGTACAAGAAAATATTGTTTTGTTTGATCCCAACTGGACATTTATTTTTGTGCTCTGTGCTGCACTTAGTACATATAGTGGACAAATAAACAAAGTAAATAAGTAAATGAGCGGATTTATTTGTCAGAAGAATGCCTGGTGACAAATGTCGGCATCATATCAGCATCATGTTATGTGATACATTATGTAATTGTAAGCTAACAATACAAATACATATTAATATCTCCCTTCAAATATAGAAATTGTTATGCTCCCTCAAGTATTGCTGGTTTAAAAGGTTTTAATTGCAACTGAACTTGTTGGCATCGCAATTTTCAATTGCAACGTAAAAAAGGATTGAATGTTAGTAAAATAGGTTAATAAGGATTTTTAGTTCAACTTGTTTACAGTCCCAAAAAATATTTTCATGTATTGAATGAATGAAAGTTTTTTTTGAGCTGTTGGCGAAGTTTCAAATGCCAATTTTGTAAATTACGATTTCGTTTGTTTTGGACTAATTACAGTCAAAGAAAAGAGTTTTGGACCTAGTACTGAGCAGTTCAACTCACATATTAATTTATGCTCACGCCATGACACTTGAATAGTTTCAGAAATAGTAGTTTCTCGGAATTTTAAAGCTTTAACTGGTCGATGCGTTCATTTATTTATTTTTATATCACTCTTCCCTTTATTTGATTTCAAACGTTTTGGTTGACTTGTTTGACTATTTGTTTCTATTAGTTGAAATGAACTCGGTGCTGTTTTTTAGATTTTAAATTTTCATGATCTTCGAGTAGAGTATTGCTGCCTCAGTTAAGTTCACAATTTCTTGGCAATAGAAAAGGATATCTCCAAAGCAATGATAAATGGTGGCGAATCGTCGTTAGTAAATGTGACGGAAAGATAATTAAAAATGATCAACGATACTCGATTTCACTTCCGTATTGGCAAAAGTTGTTTAAAACTGCAAAGATGATCGAAAAGGCTGCCGACTGAAAAGAGTAGTTTTTGTTAAACAAAGCGGTTAAATTCGAAATGAGCCTTTCAGTTTCATTGGCAAGACCACCGGAGCACTTAGGTATTTATCCATCACTAAATTTTAAAATTTAATAATGTCCTTAATATCTCCCGTAATATTCTGAGTCAAACACTGTTCTATTCTTTCGTTGTATTGATTTCCTCTTCTTCGGTCTCCTGGGTGCGCATCCACACCACCAGCTTTTTGGTCCAGAACCTACATGCCTGTATCTCTGTGTGTCACTTATAAATATTGTCACGCAAATATGATCACATTTGTTAAACGCCCTAAGTGAGACTCCCAAGGCTTCCAGCAAAACTTCTTCCTCAGACAGGATCGAATTGCTACTTCTGCTTTCCGCGCACCGTTCTGTGAGGTCTTTCCCTTCCACTACCGGGACCCCTCTGCCCTCTCCCTCCTTCTTATCTAGATGTAAGATAAAAAGGACAAGGGATAAAGTTTTTGTTGTTGTTCAATCCCGTCTGAGAGATGCGCCCCCGCACTCGACTTCCATTCAGAATCGTAGTGGCGTAATGAGGGCGTATGTGGCCTATACAATGACTTGCGGT